AAGAAAGAAAGAAAGAAAGAAAGAAAGAAAGAAAGAAAGAAAGAAAGAAAGAAAGAAAGAAAGAAAGAAAGAAAGAAAGAAAGAAAGAAAAAAAGAAAGGTATTTACTAAGATGGTACAATAAAGACAGTTGGTAGAGAACATGCCCCACAAAGTTCTGTAACACACTCTCCCTCCCTCTTGTATATACATAGTTTAGAGAAAAGTAGACTCAAGCTTAGAGGTCATGTGTGGCCAAGGAGTGGCCCACCTCTGATGGCTGTATGTCTTTTTATCCCACTCATGCGAGTGCTCAAGAAATTTTCCCTAGAGATGGTGAAGTCTCTTTGCTGGGCTCCTTGTGGAGTCATGAGTCCAGGCTGCACTTGGAAGACAATAATGCAATCACTGCCATCAGCTGTTTTGGGGACACCATTTGGGACATAGATGGGAAGAAAGGAGCTTCTGCCCTTTCCTAAGAGAGATGGGGAGGTGCTATGCGCTTCGACACCAATGGGAAGTCGGAGAAGGCCAACATCCTCTGGGGACTGTAACATCTGAAGAAGAAGATGTCTTTGTTGTTGTTCAAAAAAGAGACAGTATAGGAGAAAATTGAGCCCTGTCCTAAAATAGGCGTATAATTTTGGGTGCAGTGGATGTATTTGGAATTAACAAAGGCAACCCAATTCCTCTCCCTCGGTTCCCTTTATGAGACACCACAGTGTTAGAGAAGACCAAGTCTTCATGGAATGGGTAGAGAAAGTTAGCTGTGTAGAGCTGACAGATCAAGTAGCTTGGCAGATGGCCACAAAGCACTTTTTAGACTCAACTAAGAGCTGACAATATATGATGGGCCAGGCTTCCCTGGTGATGTAGCACATGACTGTTTATTCACCCCTGGTAGTACATACTCAAAATGTGGCCTCGGAGCCAGAAGCTCCCAAAGAATCAGCATCAGGTACAATGTCCCAGAAGTTACTGTGGAGACTTTAGAATGATTTTGTGACTTAAAGCTCCCCTCTAATGTCTCACTGAGCTGTGGAGGCAACACTGGGGACCTGAGGCTCTGGCCGCTGAACCATCTCTGGCAGGTCTTACCAACTTGGGACAGCTTCCAGGACAAACCCATCAATAGTTGTATGTTTTGGGAGCAGCTGGGTGGCATAGTGGCTAGAGCACCGGCCCTGAAGTCAGGAGGACCTGAGTTCAAATCCAGCCTCAGACCAAACATTTGACACTAGCTGTGTGACCCTGGGCAAGTCACCTAACCCCAATTGCCTAAAAAATAAATAAATAAATAGTTGTATGTTTGTTCTTGTTATATCTTCAAAGTAAATATCTCTTTGCAAAAACTAATTAATGTTAAGTGGTTTAATGGAATTGGATTGATAGTCATTGGTGTTTAGCAGGGGCTGCTGTTGCTTGTCTTTCGCTCTTGAATAGGACCATGACATCAGTGAGGTGATGAAGTGACATGCAAGTGAATTGAGTTTAAGTGAGGGAGGGCTGTGCCAAGTGACCAGCCTCACTTTCACCTCTGGAGCCATCTGGGTCCAGTGGCAAGATATAGATCAGGATGACTGGAGATGGCCCCCATTTAGCAGCCAGAGAAAACACAGCTGCTGAAGGCTTGAGCCAATGGCATTAGAGAAGAGAAAGCCATCAGCGTCTTTGGGTGCCCATAGAAGCCTACAGGGGAGAGCCAGCAGCCAGGCTCTGGGAAAGACACCAGAGAATCACCAATGGTATGTCTGTTGTCCAAGACCCAACATGTCTAAAAGAAAAGAAACTCAACCAACAGATAATAAGTCAAAAAGGGATGGACTTTCCAGCCATGGCCACTCTTAAAGTCATCAAAGTTTTCAGATCTACTTTGGCAGAAGAAGTTTCCTGATTCTCAAAGTCATAGATGCCTGCAATATGAAAGTTTAATGTTAATTAAGTTCTAAAAATAGGCTACACATCCCCTATGTCTAGGCCCTGGAGATCTCAAGCCATCTATAAGCTATTGGTCTCAAGAGTAACCTGAGGCCTCAGAGAGATTCAACATCTTGTCAAGAATGAAGTTTTTAAGTGCCACACACTGGAGGGAAGCCCACAGCATAGAGGCCTGAAGACCTAATATTTTCTCAATTGCCTGACATATCTGTGCAGTGACTCAGTCAGGGGTGAAGCACTGTCTTTACATCTCTGGTAGACCAACAATATCCCTGACAGGTCACGGAAAAACACACCAGACATTTTACAAATAAGGAAACTGAGGCAACCAAGAAGCAAATTAAGACATTTGAAGTCCTTCATCAGGAAGAACCGGGTCAGATTCAGAACTGCAAGGGAACTGCAAAATCATCATAGTCATCTTACAGATGCTAGCTGACATTTCTGTTGTGCTCAGCAGTTACAGAGCAATTCATGTCCAGTATCTACTTACAGCAACACTCTGAAGTTAGTGCTATTTCTCTTCACACTTTGCAGATTTGGAAATTAAGGCCCAGAGAGGGAAAGTATTTATGTTGTCCAAAGTTCAACAGCTAGGAAGGGATAAGTCAGAATTTGAACCCAGGCTGTTTGATGCTAAATCCCATGCTCTTTCCACACCCGTCCTAGGGGGCTCACTGAAGTGATTCTGACTCCCAGACAAGCATTTCAAAGTGTTTAAATCTTTGGAAAAACATCGTTGTCTTTTCTCCTTTTCAGACCCGGGAGAGATGGGTGGACAGATTACAAGGCTGTGAGAGGTGTGCCAGTCACTGGTTAGGCAGGCAGGCAGGCACACAATTGTGCCTGAAACCTTGTTAGGCTATCCTCTACACACACACACACACACACACACATTGTTAATTCAAGTTCTCCTTACAGAATATAACAGCTAACTAGCACTTATATAAATAACACTAGTGCTTGAAAAGCACTTCAAATGTGTTATTTCGTTTGATCCTCACAACAAGCCTCTCCTATTAGGGCTATTAGTAATCTCCAACTTACAGATGTCTTACCGAGGCTGGGAGATGATTAGGTGACTTGCCCAGAGTCACAGAGCTAATAAGGGTCTAAGTCAGAATTTGAACTCAGATCTTCAGGACTCAAGACCAGTACCCAATCTTTGGTGCCCCATAGCTGCCTGGAATGTTTTCTTGAGCAAAGAGAATTTGACTAGAACTTGGACTCACAATCTTGTGAATCCAGATGCTCCCAGGCACACACATACTCCCAGGCCTATCACTGAGAGTCTGGTACTGAGTAGGAAAAGTGAGGTAAGGTCAAGTCATCTTTTCCTTCTAGGCCAGAGCTGAGTCAGGTGGTTCCCTGGCACTATTGAAGGAGAGATGCCATTATGCCTTTCCATAGGCCCATCTCTTCACTTTGGTGATCAAGCTAGGGAAAGAATTCTGGGAATCTCAAGAATTTGAATTGGACCTTTTAGCATTTCTTCCACTCTTTGTGCCTCAGTTTCTTACTCTGTCAAACTAAGGGTGGGGTGGGACTAGATGGCCACTAAGGTGTCTTTCAGCTGTAAAACCCCTTCAGGATTCCATGATTTAGATTCCTCCAAACCTAGAGAAATGTAGGAGGCACAATTTCCTGCCTGTCTTCACAGGGAGAGGCTGCATGGCTGAATAGCCAGAGGCTGTGCTAGGGGTCAGGAAGACCCCGGTGCCAGTCCTGCCTCTCACACATGCTAGTGTGACCCTGGCCAAGACTCATCAGCTGCTCGGTCTTTCAGATGAGTTCACCTACGTCAGCAGAGGTAGCTTCCACATTAATGCAATGACAAGCTGGAGCCAAAAACAGTCGTTGTTTATCTAAGCCTATACTCCTGGGTATCACAAACTTGAAAAGATCCTACCTAGGACTTACCTGGGCTACTGGTCCTAGTCCAGCCCCATTAAAGGGTAAGTGTTTTATTAAGGTATTATTAATTTAATTTATTAATGTATTAAACATTGCTGTCGCTTCTTGGCTGGCGAATCCCCCACTTGCATTAGAATCCTCCACTGTATCAATGAAGGAAAGCAGACGAGCACCAAGGCCCAGTCTGACTACTTACGCCTTATTCCACGCCTGCAGTCCGTCACCTCTGCCCAGTGACAGGAGGCAAATTTCACTGGGTTTCATGCTTAGTTCTTTCAAGTCACAATTCCCACCCTGCTCCAGCCCTGTCTTTTAGAGATGGGACTTGAGAACCGGAAAGGAGGAAGGGGCAGGCCCGAGATTCAAGGCAGGTCCTCTGATCCCAAATCCAGGGCTCTTTTAATTGATAGCACTGACGCATGCAGCAGGGGCAGGATCCTGGCTGGGATGCACACATGTGCATATATTGCATAGCCAGAACAAAAACATGATATCAGTATTCCAGACACCCTCAGGGCACACAGTGACAGGCCTGGAGACAGCTCTGAGAATGGCCTTATGCTGCCACCCCGCTTCCCATCTCAGCTCAGACACTGGTCGCTGTTTCTGTCTCTTGCATCTCTGCCTTCCGTCCAGCCCCACCCGGCTCCCCCAAAGGCAATGAATGACCTTAAACTTGCTCTTGACACCTGAGACAGCTCAGAGGAACTGAGAAAAAAAATTCCCTTCTAAGTAAAAAAGAAAATAAAAATACTTTTTTGGGCAGGGGCAGTTTCATGGAGCTGGGGAGAGGTTTGGGGGTAGGGAAGAAGTCTTGGAGAAGGCAAGCAGCAAACATTAAAAATTTCAAATCAAAGCCACTTAGCCAACCCCTAGCCCAGCCCCGCCACTCCCTCCTCCCGGCCTCTGGGCCGGCACTTCCCGAGCCCAGCGTCAGAACCGAGAAGAGGGAGTGCGTCAGTAAAGGTTGCCCAGTTACGGAGACCTCGCCCTCCGTAAGCTTGGAAGGTCTAGAGCACTGCCCTGCGCCCATGACTCAAGCCAAGAAATTAGCTTCTTCAAGGGCTGTGGTGGCTCTTCAGGGCTATTAGGGCCCTGTCCTAGGTCCCCAGGCAGCCCCGCTGAGGACACCCCGCACACACTCCCCGGCCTGCTCTTACCCCACACTTTTGGTGGGGCAAGAACTCCTGAGATAAGGTTGGGGGTGGGCGTGGGGGTATTTCGAGACTGCCCTGGTTCTAGAGTCAGAAGTACTGAGTTCCAATTCCGGCTTTCCATTTACCAGTTTTGTGGCCCTGGCCAAAACACTTCGCCTTTCAGGACCTCGGCCTCCCCCTCTGCCCAATGACGACCTTCCGATCGCCAAGCCTCCCCGGGTTCCTGGATGCTCTGTTCCTGGGCCCCACAGGAGGCTGCCACGCTCAGAAGGCGCCCCAGGGCCGGCCAACCAGGCGAGCTCCGGGGAGACCCAGGCGGGCCCCAAGTGGGGCAGCAGCCGCGGCGGAGTAGGCGGCCGCCCGCTGCCCTGGTCCAAGTACTCACCTCTTCGGCACGGGCTTTTTCCTTTTCTTCATGGTGTAGACGCCTCCCGCCGGCAGCATGGCGAAGGCTGCTCCCCGTTCTCACCCTCCTAACCAGCCAGAGGACCCAGGCGTCCGGCACCTCCGACCTGGGCCCAGCTAGATGAGAGGAAGGGACGGAGGCAGAGAGCGGTGGAGGGAGGGACGGGTTCCCACGGGCCAGAGAGTACAAGGGGTGGAGACGCGCACAGCCACCTCAAGTTGGCACGCACGCACCCCAACCCCAACCGACTGCAGCGGGGTGGGAAGGAGGAAGGCAGCTTCCTCAGGGGCTCGGGGCTGGAGCTGGGGCTCCCAGAGGGAACCGCTGTTGCGGCCACACTATGGGCAGCGCGGGGTGGGGCGGGCGCCCTGGATAGGTCCCCGAAAGCCTCAGCAGTCCCAGCTGCGGGGCGCCGCTGTCTCTGCTGCCCGTCCGTCTTACAGTACTTCAGCCTCTGCCCAGGCATCCGCAGAGTCAGAGCTCCGACTGCCCGCTCAGGGTCTGCCCTCCTCCCGCAGCTGCTGCCTGAGGCAGCTCTTGGGCTGGGGGGTGGGGGTGGCGATCACTCCCTCCCGCAGTTTACCAGCCCTGCTGCCATCAGCAGGGACCTGCAGGGCCCGAGAGTCAGCAGGCCAGGAGGGAGGGACTGAGCTCTCCGCCTGCCAGGTGGTGGCTGCCTTCAGAAACACCCAATCCTGGAAACCAGCCTGCTGGAGGAGGAGGCTGAAGCCAGAAAGAAGAGGAGAAGGAAAGGGCAAGTGAAAGGAGGAGACAGAAGGAGGGAAGAGAAAGGAGGAGGGTGAGGAGGTAAGAGGGGAGGGAGAGAAAGAGGGAGCAGGAGGAAGAAAAGGAGCTAGGAGGAAGAAGGAGGGAGGAAGAGGAGAAAAAGAAGAGAATGAGGTGAGGGAAAAAGAGGGAAGAAGAGAATGAGGGGTGAGGGAAGAGCAGGGAAGAGGAGAAGGAGGAGGAATAAAGGTAGGAGGAAAGGGGGAGAAGAAGAGAAAGAGAAGGAAGGATGAGGAAGGTGGGAGGAAGAGGAGGGAAAAGAAGGGAAGGAGGGATGAGGAGAGATGAGGATGGAAGAGAGGAGAGGAAGAGGAAGGAAGCTAGAGGGAAGAAAGGGAAGAGGAGAAAGAGAAGAGGAGGGAAGAGGGGAAGAAGGGGGGAGCCTGTGTCCCCCCTCCCAGTGTTCTTGGCCTTGGCCATTCACCCCTAAATGGGGGATAGCTGAAACTGACTGTTTCCTTATTTCAACGTGAGAGGACTTTGTATTTCCTGCTCTCTTAGGCAAATTGAAGTAATGGTCTGGGTACTTTCTCCTCCTGGGAAAGAAAGTCCACAGACCCTTCCAGAGGCAGGTTGAGGCAGAGGAAATGGAATTGAAAGGCTGAACATAAAATGATGGGGCTTGCTTTGTATCCTGCCTCTGACCTTTACACCTGTGTGGTCTTGGATCAGTCTTGTCCCCTCTGGGCCTCAGTTCTCTCCTGGGTATAGTGAAGGAGTTGGCTGAGATGATTTCTAAGGCCCCTTGGAGTCTGAGCTATGACCCTCAGAAGCTGGAGGGGCACTCAGGAAGATCATGTGCTCCAACCTAACATCTAATGCAAGAATCTGGTCTTCTTGAACACTTCCCAGTGACAGGCAGTTCACTACTAAAAAGATGCTCTACTCCTCCCTCCCCTCTCCCCATTTTGGATGGTGGAAATTCTATGCTTCCATTGAGCCAAATCTTGCCCTCATGTCCTATAAGACTACGACTTCTGGTCCTTCCCTTTGGGGCTACATAGAACAGTCTGCCTCTGCCACTTCCTGCCTGGGTGACCTTGGACAAATTATTTTCCTTCTCTTATCTACAAAATGATGTGTTGGGCTAGACAGCTTTTGAGAACCCTTCCAGATCGAGGTTTATATCCTATGAATTAGATTCCCTCTTGAATATGACAGTCCTTTAAATGTGGGCTGACAACCATCCTGGCCCACCCTCCCCTCATCCCCAGCCTTCCCTTCTCCAGGCAGCTGGGTCAGCCTAGGTCCCTCAGCAGTTTCTGATCCTTCTTCCCCCTGAATGTCCTCCTTGATTCAATGAAGCATTTAGCTATAGAGAGGGACCCAGATTCTGCCCAGCCAGTTCAGAGCCCATTGAGATCCTTACTTCTCTTGCTCTCATTTCCCTCTCTGAAGTTATCACCTTGGAGATGCTGACAGAGCTGTGAAAGTTAAGCCATCCTCCCCAAAACCCGGGCCAGGGTGGGCATGTCCCCGCCCCACCACCCACCAGGTGAAGACTGACCAACCTGGATCACATTGTGCTCAGCATCTTGTCCAAGGTCAACAACATCTCAGAGCAGGGAGAAGTCCAGGCCTCCACCCCCTGCTCTCAACCCCCTTACCAGACTGTAGGGCTTCCCACTGAACTGTTTCTTTCCCTCTCAGACAGCTCTCTGCCTCTCCCACCCTTGTAAATTATTGACATGAGACACACAAAGGCTGGCAGTTCTAGAAAGTTCTCTTTAGGCCAATCAGTTCTACTGAGCCTAAAGACATGACACTGAGTTTCCCAAATGTAAGGAGAGAAAATGGTCCCCTCTGTCCCACATGGATAAGCAGGGCTGGGCCCGCACCACTAAAGGGAAGGTAGAGATGAAGAGTAGTGACACAGAAGGGGGCTAAGGCAGGACAAGGTGGTGCCTGTCCTTGTGGCCTCCTTCCAGAAAGGTCTCAAACCAGAAAGGTCTCCGATAAACAAAAATATCCCCAAATGGCCAATTTACTTCTGTGCCACTTAAAGAAAACAAAGTGCAGCAGGCTGATGGGGAGGTAGTGGGTCTCTCCTTCCCTGTCAATCCTGAATCCAAGCCTGGGTGACTCCGAGTGGCCCCGTGGTGGTGGGGGAGGTCCACAGGGGTCCCCATCGCACGGGTTCCAGACTTGTTCAATAGGTGGATCCTTTGTGCCGACTTTTTCCTTCTCTAAAAAATACTATTTGTCATATGGATATATGCCCCCTCCCTTCTCAAGGAGGGGAGGGGGAATACATGAGATACTATGGTTATGAAAGAAATCTATCAATAAAACCTTATGCTAAAAAAGAGAAAAAAAATCATCATTTGCAGTTGAGACATATCATTAATTCAGTCCACAGAAGGCACGTAGGACTGTGTTTATTCCAGTAAGATGTTTGATATGAATTTAGGAAAGTTTCCCAGCAGCTCTGAGGACACAGGCCTGAGGGTGCTCAGAGGATCCAGCAGACAAGTTAATATATGACTGGAGAAAGCTAATTAATGGGACCCCATCCTCATTATCAGATTGTCCTAGAAGCAACTGAGAGCCTGGGGATGGACCACTCTGAGGGTATTAGGGAAGCATTGGGAGGCCAGAAGAAGGAAGGCAGATTTGTCTCTTGGCTGCACTGCTCTGTTCAGGTGTCATAGGGATTTCCCCAAATTGCTTTGTTGATTTTAGATTTAGAATTACAGAGCCTTTGGAGACCACAAATATAGAGCTGGAAGGGACCTGGGAGGGCATCTAGTCTGCCAGCCTCTTCACTTTACAGATGAGGAAACTGAGGCTCAGAGAGGGAAAGTAACTTGCCAAAGGTCATACAGGTAATAAATCCATGGCAGGGCCAGGATCGGAAGCCAGGTGCTCAGACTGGAAACCTGGGGTTCTTTCCATAATCTCACTTTCCTTTGAGAGAGGCCTCAGGATCTAAACTGGAAAAATCATTTCTCCACCTATCATCAACACTCAATTCATGGTAGCTGGGGGAGCTGTTCCCGCTCTGGGCAGCCATTTCCTCACCTGTAAAAGGAGCAGGCTGCATTAACTGGGCTCTGAGCTCCCAGCTCTGAATCTAGGATCCTGTGAACTGTCCAGGCTCAAACAGTCCCTCGCCCTGTGATGGACACCCCACGAAGCTAAGCTGGAGAAGCCAGGAGAGCTCAGAGGGCTGCAGCTGCCCCCGGCCGCTCCAGAGCACCTCCTCCCCATCCTGCCCACTCCAGGTGCATCAAAGAATGCCAGTTGGTATATAACAGAAAAAAAATAATGAATGTGTAGTCACAGGTCCTGAATTCAAATCCAGACATGGACACAGTGAGCATCGGCAAGTCCTTTTCCCTGTCTGCTCCTTCATTTTCTCACCAAGGTGCCTTCTTTCTGGTTATCTCCTCCGTCCTTCTTGCCCCTGAGTCTCCTGGCTCTGAGCTGTGAACTTTTGACTTATCTTGTACAGAAGCAGGCCTGCTATATGTCAGGTCAAGCACCCCACCCCCTTCTAACTCCTCTGTAAGTATTGTCTTCCTTGAAGGAGAATGGAAGCTCCCTGAGGTCAAGGACTGTTACTTCCTTGTATCTGTGTCCTTAGCATTTAGCACTGTTCTTGGATTATTTTGTTGTTGTTCAGTCGTTTTTTAGTTGCGTCTGTCTCTCCGTGACCCCAGCTGGGGTTTTCTTGGCAGAGATAGCAGAGTGGTTTGCTATTTCCTTCTCCAGATCATTTTACAGATGAGGAAATTGAGGTAAACAGGGTGAAGTGATTTGCGCAGGGTCACACACCTAGTAAATGTCTTTTTTACTAGAGTCTTTACTAGAGTCTTCCAGACTCCAAGCCCAGTGCTCTTATCCACTGCACCACCTAGCTTCCCCTGGCTTGTAATAAATGTTTAATGCTTTTATCTTTTTCTCTTACTCTCTCTCCCTCCCTTCCTTCCTTCCTTCCTCTCTTCCTTCCCTTCCCCTTCTTCTTTCCCTTCTGTTCCCACTTCCTCTCCCCCCCCCCCTCCCCTCCCTTCCCTCCCTTCCTCTCTTCCTCTCCCTCCCTCTCTCCTTCCTTTCTCTTTCTTTCTCCAAACACACACTCAGTGTGCCCAGGATCACATGTCCAGTGACCCACGCTTCTAGCACACCCTGTATAGACCCTCCAGGGACCCTGGGCCCTCCTGCTCTGGGACAAGCTCCTGGCCTTGGATTTTGGCCTTTTTTGGAACCTCTCCCAGAAAGGGAGCTACTGGCGTTCTTCACCTGAACATCTCTCAGTTAGCAGCTGAGTCAAGGAAGCAACCGCCTGAGCTGCTGAGAGTTAATTGTCAGCACACCAAGCATCTCCTCCTCTAGGCCTTGGCAGCCTGGACCTTCTTGAGGTCCAGAGGGTGGGCTTTCTCCTTCCCATCTCAGCCCTTCTGCAAGGAGTGGCTCTGCATTCTTCAATGTGCCTAGAATTGGAGGGGAGGGGGATG